TAGGTTTTTATTATTAATAAAATTATAATATTTAATAAATTTAATAAATATAATATATTGATTTTATATACTTATTTAATTGAATTGATACCAAATTGAGGCCAATTTTAGGCTGATTTATGGTTATTTAAGTTTCGAATTGATGCCAAATAATACTATATTAAGGTCAATTTTAAGCTAATTTATGTTATTTAAGTTTCAAATTAATGCTAAATGATGCTGAATTATGGTCAATTTTAGGCTGATTTATGGTTGAATTTAATCTGAATAGCTATGTCCGATTGGAGTCGATTAGCGTCTATCGACGTCTGAATTATTGCCAAATTGAGGCCAGTTTTAGGCTAATTTATGGTTGAATTTAAGTTCTGAATGGCCATGTCCGATTGGGATCGATCGGTGTCTATCGACACCTGTTTATGCCGATCAGAAAACATGGCAAATCAGCCATAAATAGTATCAAAATCAGCCTAAAATTGGCCATCTGATTTTTAGCCGATTTGGACTATTTCGACTAGTGCAAATACACTTTGCTTTTTATAGTGGTAATAATGTTAAGCCTAAACACTACATCATTAGGATAACAAAACTTATTTGCTAACAGAGAGTTTAAGCCATAAATTATAAAAGATATAAATATGAATTTATTTAAGTTAAGGGTCAGGTCATCTTTATTGATGATTTATGTTATAAGAAAATGGATATTAACAAAGATATAATTTGTTAGGTTGTTAAGATTATACTTTATTAATTATACAATAGAAACTTATTATTTTTCAAGGTGATAATACAGGATATTTATATAAAATACAATTATAAGATAGAGATAATAAATATAATAATGAAAGTAAATATAACTATAAAAATAAATATGGTAAATAAAATAATGATAAATGTAATAATAAAGAAAATAAATATCACAATAATAAGTGTGATAACAGTGAAATTAGTGAAAATAATGATCACGATTTTCCTGGTAATTATTGGTGACATTGGTTAACGCAGTCATTTAGTAACGCAAATAGATTATCACTAATAATAATAGTATAATTTTTTTTTTTTTTGATATAAATTTAATTTTTGTCTAAGTATATTTATTTTTAGTTCTACTTTATGCTTTTTACAGCTACACTAACTATTGTTTATTAAGAGATAATATTTATTTTATTTAGACAAAGGTGATATTAATTAATTAACAAAATTCTATTAAATGATAATTACCGAAGAAAGAGACATAAAGATTTATTAATTTTTAGGAAAATACGAAAGAAAAACCTATATAACTGTTTCATTGTGGCCTTTATAATAGGTTGTAAAAGAAGATATTTTAATCCTTTATCTATAATAAAGCTAAAAACGAATTATATTTACTAAAAAATTTTTTATTTTGATAACGGTACAATTTTGTGATAATTATTGAACTTGATTACAATGCATAGTAACTTTTTGGATTACCTAGTAGTGTAAATAGATAATATAGTGCAGGAAGTCTATACTTAACAATATAAATGTAACACTTAAAAATCTTTCAACTCTTTAAAAAAATAAAATTTAGAAAAATAAACTGGTAACTTTATTCTTTGAGTTAAGTTCTATTAAATTACCAGTCAGGTTTTCAAAATAAGTTCTATATAAAAAGTTATAGGCATTTAAAATTGGATAATTTTTATATGATCTTTCTGAATTTGAAACATATATTATAGATTGATAATTCGAGTTGGCATTATGGTAATTAATCATAATGTCAGCCTGAATTATTGTAATTTTAAAATGATACACAAAAAAAGAAAAGATTAATATCTCATTTTTCATTGGTCAATTACTAATCACGTGATATAAAATCCACAAAACATTGTTAAGATTTCTGGCACCATAATACTTTGGGAATAAATATGCGGAGTCACTATTCGATATTTCTTTTCTAAGATTTTCTTTTTAATTTTTGATTCTAGTTTTTTGAAAATTTAAATTAATTTTTATTTTTATTTTGCTTTGAAGCTCTTTCGGGAAATAAAAGGTAAGGAATTTTTTCATTTTATCGCCTCACGTTGATTGCATTGATTAAACAAATGTTTTCTCATTTGCTTCAATTTCACTTTTTTTTCATTTGTTTGTTTATTAGGTCCCACCCACCTTACAATTATTTTCATTGTCCTTCATTTTTTTTACTATATTTATTAATACTTTTTAATTTTTTTTTTACTTTTGCTTTGGGCTGCGATGATTTTTTTTCACCGGTTTTATTTGTTCTTTTTTTTTTGCTTTCCTTTCGGTTGGTTTATTTTTCAGGTTCGATCGCTTCATGTCCGAAGTAATCGAATATTTTGTCTATCCTTCAGCTCGACTTTATAAAGTAAGATAATTTCCTTTTTTTTATCATTTATTTTATGGTTAATCGTTTTGGATGTAGCGAATAATAAAATTACTTTGATATGTTGGAATGTTAAATAACGTAATCCTTAACTAGTAATAAGTTGAATTTCATTTCTACGATTAATGTATTAATTATGAGAAAATGGCTGCTGGAGAGATATCGATATAGTTTCAGCTGAAGAAAATAAAAATTTTATCATAATTTTTATTTTAGTAGAAGTAGTTAAATCATTTAAAATTAAAGAAAAAAATAACAAAAAATTTTGAGTTGATATTGGAATAACTGCTGACATCTTGCTTCTAAAGTCATGAACTAGGTTACTCCCGCGCTCTGGAGAAATTAGGCACATAGGTATGATCCAGACCCCATAAAGTTGAAAACTACAACTGGTTCAACATTTGGAACACCCAATAGCCGGTATAGCTGACTATCGGCTTATTACAAGGGGATTCATTCCCAATGGAATGTTAATCACACCTTATTGAAACTTGTTGTCATAACAGTAATCCTATATATATTGAGCTAGGAATCTCACGAACTATCCCACAACGACAATACTGTTTTTGTTTTTGTTTTAGATAAGTGGAATAAGCTAACTGTTAGCAATATATCTTTAAATTCAATAACAATGATTATATTACTCAGTCGTCCTTGATTTTGTTATTCAAAACCGTTCCCTAATGGCCATAATACTTGTTGCATTTCTTCCATTAAAAATTCGTCCGTAGCAATCGAGAAAGAGCAACCCATAAATTACCTACTATGATGTGTTCAAAACCAAATTCTACAACAAATTCATAAACGTAGATTAGCATTTCTAGATCTTTGCTATCGACAAGATTAATACCGATAGAGGCTGTTATGTTGCACCGGACGGATTCATCGACGAATGTTTCAACACACTACGACCCAGCCCTTCCGATTCATTTCGTTCGCTACCTTCTGACATCTTATGCACGGGTTAATCTCTAATATTCTTGTGTTCATGCTTCGCGTATACATAATTACATCCTTTTTTTCTGATTTCTTCGCTCGCTACTTAAGGTACTGACACGACAAAATGGTAATTGCAATCCACACTTTCTTGTGCTGTTAGGGCAAAATCCGGACACCATTCCAATATCCTCATAGTTTCTGCTCTCCTGTCGGCTACATCCTTGCTGTTTGCTGCTGGTCCACAACGCACTGATGTGCATATACCTGGCTATCTTTCCGATTCACAACATAAGGTTGATGCTTTCTGCTTGGTTGCATATTCAAACTTCTCTGACTTTCATCGAGATATGTAATATGTTCCTGAAGACTCAATTGTTTGGAAGGACGAATTACGTATGTCAGAGGAGACTTTCTGCGCTTAGACAGTTATCAAGATAGTTAGGAAAACGGTTACTTTCTTTCATTGGAACCGAATGACATTGTCACTCCCTGAGTCCTATTTTAAAGAAAAAATTTTTTAACGATTCTTTATGTAAAACAATAAAAACTATTAAACTGATACCTGAACGGTTCTATAAAACTATCATAGTCCACGAAGACTGTTTATTAATTATTTTTAAGATGTAACAATTATAGATATTAGTACTAGTTTTAGGCTAGATGACTCACTGGTCGCATAATTCCATCTTCGCCCAAAAATTTTTCCCACGTGACTTCCTAGCCGTCGCCCGGAAAGAATGGTAGCCGGTTGTCCCGTATTAGCCGTAAGGGCAAATTAGTTTACCCATAACCTTTGGGTCCAAGCGAACTTATTCGTGTCGGATTGTATTACGTTATATTTGATTTTGTTCGGTCAATCGCTGGATTTTGTCTTTCATAATGCATTTATAATAAATACTCTTTGAATCATATATCTTGAAAAGTGACTTTCCATGCGATTTAATGCTTGACATGCATCCTTATTGATAAAGGTGGGACCAACCTTATTCCGTGAAATAATGCATGGGTCTTTCCAAGGTTTGGCGTAGGGATCTTTTGCGATGTTTAGCGGTGTATCGACATTTTAAAAAATATTTATTTTAATTTCGATGTCGATGTTTAGAAGGTTTGATTTTCCTAAACTACAAATAAGTTTGAAATTTATTATAATTATTTTTTTAATTATTTTGATATTTTAAATATTATTTTGTCAGTAGAAAAATCAATGAATTATTAAAAAAAAAAAAAAAAAAAAAAAAAAAAAAAAAAAAAAAAAAAAAAAAAAAAAAAAAAAAATATAAAAAAAAAAAAATAAAAAAAATAAAAAGAGAATAAATAATATAACTATGATAAATATAATATATATAATAAATAAGATATAATTAATAAATATGATAAATA